GAGATCGAGACGGCTTTCAAGGTCTCGCTGCCCGAAAGTGAGCTTATGGAGATTGTCGATATGCCTGGCTTGATGAAATGTGTGCAAAAGGCAGTAGGTGGAGATGCCGTCAGTGAGACAAGTGAGCAAAGCGAGGATGATACTTCCAGCGACAGTGATGCCAGGTCGTATAGTATTAGTGAAGCATCATCGGGGCACCCAACCGGTCTGACAACTCCAGCAGCTGATTACGATAAGGATTCATACGACGTTCTTAGTGCTTGTGATGACGAGCTGAAGCTTCCCTTCGTTACGGTCATGGAGGCGTTCAACGAAGTAAAAGCTCTCACAGATGACAAAATCGATGAACACGGGCAGGCCAACTATTTTGATACGGTGATGCCGTTGCAGACAGATATGTGTGTCGCACTCACACTTGAGGCATTCGATCAGCTCGGACAACGTCTTCGCGAGGCGGAACCGGGAGACGAATTACGTCGAATTTCCCATCCGAAGGAGCACAGCCGTTTAGTCGATTATCTATACCTAATGCTGGAGAAGGAGGCTCAGATTATCAATGTTAACGGCGACACTATCACTAGAACTGCCACGGCGGCGCCGGCAAGGTCGAGTAAGGAGATTCTATATGAGTTGCTAGCACGCTTCCCCGACCAGGCGACAGCCGATAAACTTACATTTTACACCGGATCAAACCTCGCAGAGGTCCTGAAGGGAAAGACCGATGGTATCAAATTGATCTTTGGTACTCCTCAGGGGCGTGAACTCGTCTCTGGCTTGTATGCAGAATGGCCGTTAAATCGGCTATTCTACAAACAGATGGAGGACTTCCTTGCAAGACTCTGCTCGAAGCTTGATATGAACGAAGGCCCGCTTAAGATCCTCGAGATGGGCGCAGGTACTGGAGGTACAACTAAGTGGCTCGTCCCCCTCTTAGCCTCGTTGAACGTGCCAGTCGAGTATACATTTACAGATCTTGCACCGTCGTTCGTGGCCGCCGCACGGAAAAAGTTCAAGCAGTATCCGTTTATGAAGTTTAGAACTCACGATATCGAACAGGCGCCAGCCGATGATCTAATGGGAACTCAGCACATTGTTATTGCCAGCAACGCCGTCCATGCCACACATTCTCTGGCTGTTTCCGGGAAGAACATCCGCAAAGCACTACGGCCTGACGGGTTCCTTATGATGCTTGAGATGACTGGTACATTGTATTGGGTCGATATGATTTTTGGATTATTCGAGGGCTGGTGGTACTTCGACGACGGGCGCACTCATGCCGTCACACATGAGCTCAGATGGGAGAAGGATCTGCAAGCCGTTGGTTATGGACACGTCACCTGGACGGATGGGGCTCGGCCGGAAAATAGATGCGAGAAGCTGATTATCGCGATGGCTTCGGGTGAGAGGTGCGAACGGCCCCCAATTCCCTCCTCCTCTCTACCTATGAAGAGTCTATCAGCTGACCTAGTGGCACGACAAACAGTGGTCGATAGGTACGTTCGGGACTTGACATATGGTTTCTCGGATGGACTCGAAGATGCATCGTGGTCCTGTGTCTCGAAAACGAAGCCCAGCGGGAAAACGGTGCTGATTACAGGCGCAACTGGCAGCTTGGGATCGCACTTGATTGCCCAATTCGCAGAATTAGCCGACGTCACTCGCGTTGTCTGCTTAAACCGACGCAGAGGAGCCAACCCAGAAGAGCGTCAGAAACAAGCCCTCATCAAAAAGGGCATCTCCTTATCCGACAGGGCTATCAGCAAACTAAGCGTCTTCGAGACTGATATGTCAAAACCCAACCTCGACCTACCTGTCGAGGACTACAAAAACATCGTCAATAGCGTCACTCATATTATCCACAATGCGTGGCTTATGAATGCAAAGTGGCCACTCCGTAATTTTGAGACGCAGTTCCAAATCTTGAAAAATCTCCTTAGCCTTTCCCGCGAGATTTCCGTTCGGCGCGCCCCGGGTACCAAAGTCACCTTCCAATTCATTTCATCCATCGCTACTGTTGGTCATCGACCTATCTGGTCAGGCGAGCCAATAGTCCCCGAGGAACGCATGACGATCGAGTCGGTATTGCCTACAGGATACGGCGATGCCAAATACATCTGCGAACTCATGCTTGATGAAACGCTACACAAGCATCCTGATCGTTTCCGCGCTATGGTCGTCCGACCAGGGCAAATAGCAGGTTCGAGTATAAGCGGTTACTGGAATACTATGGAACACCTTTCTTTTTTGATTAAGTCTTCTCAGACGTTGAAAACGCTGCCGGATTTCGATGGCCTACTATCTTGGACACCGGTTGATGAGGTCGCTGGCACGCTTGCTGATCTTGCTTTTCTCCCTGAAGATAAGACGCACTACCATATATACCACGTTGAGAACCCAGTTCGTCAACCATGGAAGGAGATGACTCTTATATTAGCTGATGCTTTGAACATACCACTTCAAGATATAATTCCTTTTAGAGAGTGGATACAACGCGTTCGGGAACACCCCAGACAAGGTGGGGGGCCTGAAGGCGAGAACCCGGCGTTCTTATTGGTCGACTTCCTGGACGATAACTTCTTCCGCATGTCTTGCGGTGGCCTCTTACTTGATACTACTAAAGCTCGAGAGCACTCGAAAACCTTAGCAAATACGGGACCGGTTAGCGAAAGTGTAGCTAGGAAATTTATTCAGAGCTGGAAGGATATGGGGTTTCTAAGTCAATGAAATGATTTCTCATGTAAGAGCTTAGATTCTGGGTGTTGTAAAATAGTAGGAACTTATTAATAGGAAAGGTTTAATACAACATTGTGTCATTTCATTAGTGTTTGGTATAAATGAGCTCCCATCTCGAATGAATTGTTGTACTTCTTGTCGTTTGGAACTATGCGGATTTCCATTTGACGTCCGAAATACATGAGTCTCCACTCATTACACGCAGGTACGAAAGTACCTTCCTTAGGTTTCTGAGGTACCCGGGCTGTTATGTACTTACAGCGTGCTGCTACTACAGCGAGGGTGCGGCTACATACATAAGGTACATACACATGCACTTACCCCATCACGTGAAGCAAACAGGGATCTCGTGCATTTTTCGGGATCCAGGCAATCACAGCTGAGGTTGATCTTCGGTAATAAGGGTCATAGCTATCCCCACCTTGGCAGCTTAAGTAACTCTGTTGATTGGGCGACGCGGATTTGCGATTTTTGATTGACAGCACGCTGGAGTGATAGAGTCATCGCCGCGCCAGCGACATCAATTTCTATTTTCTTCCCTAACAAATAAAAATCCACAAGTCAAACGTCCCATTCTATCCCGCTGTTTCCGCAACCCAATACTCAACTTCTACCGTTCCTTCGTCCAAGACGTCCTCTTGCATCATTCATATTCTTTTTTTTCTTCCCGGGACGTTTTTTCGCGTCTTTCATACTAATTAATTCTCTATACCCAAGTAGACATGGGTGAATCTCGGTGAGTGACGACCCCACATCTATATCCTCAAGTTCTAAAGCCATAGTTCCTGACTGACACCCCATCGCTTCTATGTAGACAGGAGCTGGTAGCATGGCTGAACAGCCTCCTTCAGCTAAACATCACCAAAGTTGAACAATGTGGTACTGGGTAAGAATATCCTTGTGCTTTAATATTTACCCCTCCCCCGCCAAACAATACCCAAGCTACCTATATAGGAGAGGAAATATAGGAGAGGAAATATAGGAGAGGAAAACAATCAGCCATAACCTTGCTATGAGTGGTGTTGCATAGCATATTACCGACGAAAGATCTGAGCTAACCTTATATCCCTCGACTTTTACAGTGCCGCTCTTTGCCAGGTCTTCGACAGCATCTTCGGAGATGTACCCATGTCGCGTGTCAAGTTTAATGTCAACACTGAGTACGCCTACATCCAGAACTTCAAGGTCTTGCAAAGTTAGTTTTCCCTTTCTTCCACCTCGGCCATTTTTCAGCCTTTGTCGTATTCAAAGATGACTACTATTATCATGAAGCCATTCATGTGCTAATTCCCCCTATTTCTAGACACGTTCGCCAAGCACAATGTCGACAAGCCCATCCCTGTCGAAGCCCTCTCCAAATGCAAGATGCAAGATAACCTTGAGTTCTTACAATGGACCAAGCGATTCTGGGACCAGTATTATCCCGGTGGAGACTACGATGCCGTCGGACGAAGAAAGGGTGCTCCCCTTCCTGCTGGTGGCGCTGCTGCACGAGCCACTGGGGGCGCCGGATCAGCCGCGGCACGAAGAGGTGGTACAACTCCCACAACCGGACCCCGCGTACCCAAGGCTGGTGGCGGTGGTGCCGCTTCAGCTGCCCTAATCCAAGAGAACGCGACATTGAAGGAGACGGTTGTCGGCCTCGAGCGCGAGCGAGACTTCTATTTCAGCAAATTACGGGATATAGAGCTCTTGATTCAACAGGCTGTCGACGAAGACCCCGAGATCGAGAAGCAGGAAGATGGACTTATTAAACAAATCCAGACGATACTATACTCAACCGAGGAAGGCTTCGAAATCCCCGCCGAAGGGGAGGCGCTGGATGACCAGGAAACATTCTAAAGCCTGCAAGAGTAACAAAACAAGAAGAAAGTGATGAATAGCCACCGTCTGGGGGGAGGTCGGTAGATGGCCATGAATTAATATTGGAGCGGTTGATATGATGAGCCAAAATGGGCAAGATTATGCGGGTGCTTATGAAGCGATGCATCTAGAACGGTGTCATTAAAAAGCCCTCGGTTCTCTTATTCAATTTGCATCATCACAGGAACGGGATCCCGGGTTCCTGACAGTACTAGAAGACATTGTCTGCTCTAGACTAATATACCCACTTGATTCAAGGGTGTGATGCCTAGAGATTTGACGATAGATATTAACAGAGACTTTTTTTTTCTTACGGAAGGTATAGGTACCTATTTGTTCACGTATTTATTCACATAATTACCTCTTTACTTCGTACCTATGTAATCTAGTAATATTCATACATACCTTATTCTAAGTTGCGACTACCCCCCCTATAATAAGGTTACCTAGCTGCATATCTCGGCCAACCTCGTAGTGGGCACCTAACTATCTGTTACTTTTGCGACTTCCCTAAGAAACGCGACTACTGTGAATTTCTTATCATTGGAGAGTTCTGCTCTAAGATCGTTCTTTCTATTATCTCTTCCTCTCTTCCTCCACAGTTCCAAAAACTAGATGCCTTTAGCATTTTAAGCATCCTCTTATCCTCTTATTTAACTCCCGATGGATCGCAACGTGTGACATCACCATTGTCACCGTCGCTCCAATGGCGCCGACAGGTCACCCCAAAGGCACGAATAGCACCGAAGCCCACAAGCCTGCAGTACTTGCGCCCATAGCCAAACATGCTTTGCAAAAGAATACTCAGAATACTCGTCCACAGCGAAGTTCCTTGCGTAGAGCCGTTCGAGAAAGTCTGCTTGACTTATCAGCCGTAGCAACTGTCACCACACCTCCTAGTTCTCCGGCACTGATTCTCCCTTTGCCGTCATCAGCACCATCTACCTCAACATCGCGCGTTAACGCCACTACACAACGAAGCTCTTTGCGTCGAGCACTCAAAGAAAGCTTGCGTGATGCCGCCGCTATCAAGACCGTCGCCATGATAACAACTACTCCCCCACCAACCCTACCGCCGACACCGCCAATAACTCCTGGATTCATGTCGCCCAAGAGCTTTACTGCATCGTCGTCGCCATATTCTCTAGCAAATACGCCGGAAACACCCGTGACACTTTCCTCAATATCGCCGCTGAATTCTGCTACTGCTGGATCGTCACCTGATTCGGCTTCAACTCCAACTTTCCTCTCCCCATTGCAAAGTAGTAGGAAGTCTGCAATATTGCAGAAGCAGAAGCAGCATCTAAGGCTACTAGGAAGAAAGCTCGAGTGTTTAGATGCCAAGGAAAGCGACAATTCAGGACACGCTGAAATTGATAACGGGCAAGGGCGAAGCAAACATTCGGAAGTGGTGGACAAGATTGATATTAACGGTATCCCTACATCCCGCAAGGGCTGGTACCGCGTGCGATCCATCATCACCGAAGCTCACGACCGGAACGGTCATCTCATCTACTTCGTCGACTGGGAGGGTCATGACCCTCGCACTGGAATCGGCTGGCCGGGATCCTGGGTATGTTTGCTTTAAACTGCCTGGCCGAGAATAAACAACAAGATAAAAACTAACACGGATATAATATTTAGGTTAATTCGGAGAACGTCTCGGAAGCTGCAGTTCGTGAGTGGAAGGACAAGCGAGCCAAATAGGACCCTTACAAGAAGACGGTCTTATAATGGCCAAGAAGCAAGGAGAGCGAGAGACAAACCAATCCGCCAGCCTACTTGAACTATCGCCAAACAATGCCCACTTCGATTATACTATCTATATCTTGCTTATTAGCAAACCATCAAAGCCTGAAGCCGAGGTACGACGAGAGGGAGGATTTATCGAGACGCAGTTTTACCAAGTATTTCCGAGTGACTAGAAACTTTGCATTTCTTAGTCGAACAAACTGAACCAGTTAGCATACAAGATGTTGCTGACGCATGTAAGATTATCTACCCTAGGAGGTACCTACGTATATAAAAAGCCCAGCAGGCATATTCGCCAATAAACTGGCAGAATTATTAAATCGCGTGTATTAAATAATTGTGACTGTTTCTAAAGCTTCTACGTGCACATGTGAAGGGCAGGATAAGGGGGTTAAAGACTCCTTATACAGCTACCTATTGGGTGCTTATACAATGAGGCTACGTTTATTATGAGACCGAATAGACGCATTGCTCTCATCTGAAGAATTGTGATGTCCACATCATCCAAGAATGGTTCTTATTGGCGCGACACAAACTATCGGCTTCCCGATTCGGCGGTGACACCCCGTTCCGACAAACTTCCCCGGTAAGGTAGATCGCACATCCAAGTCAAACTCAAACCCGCAACCCCGAATTCGTATATACCTAGGAGGTAGAAAGGTAATTCAGTCGCGCAACGCTCTTTTGTCAGTACGGCCCCACGCGGCATGGACTCGGATTCCGACTGCGATTCGTGGAAATACCTACCGTTCGAGCTGGGGGAATGCGAAGACCTCGAGAACTATGAGCCGGGAGGCTTCCACCCGGTGCACCTCGGTGACGTGTACGATGGACGCTACCGAGTCGTCCACAAGCTCGGGTTTGGTGGTTTCTCTACCGTCTGGCTTGCTCGAGAAACTAGCGAGAACCGATGGGTCGCCTTGAAGATCGTTGCCGCCAGAGAGTCGCCTTCGTACGAAGACCGCTCCGTGATCGCGAGTAATCCTAACATTGCCGGGTCCTGTCTTTTTGTCACGGTTGACCGGCAGTTCTGGATCGACGGTCCAAATGGCCGACATCTTTGTCTCGTATTTCCGGTTCTGGGCCCGGACTTGTCTAAGCTTTCTAAGGGTATCTATTCGAGAATGAAACCAGAGTTCGCCCGGGAGGTGTCTCTCGAGGCAGCTCGGGCTCTTGTACAGCTCCATTCAAACGGGCTTTGTCACGGAGGTAGGTCAATCGCTGATCCCGGTTGAACACACGAAGATTTAGGTACTAAACCAGTAAGACTTCACTGCGAGCAACATAGCGTTACGCCTTATTAACGAGTTTGACTCGTATGAGGAGGATCAACTGTTTGAACTTTTCGGAAGTCCTCAAACCGCGCCCCTCCGAACCTACTCCGAGGATCCCCCAGGGCCTCACGGACCCGAATACATTGTGGTCCCCTTAGACTTCTGCTCTTCTGCCACCAACGTGCTCAGCAGCAAAATCTGCATCATCGATTTTGACCAATCGTTCACAATCACACGCCCGCCATCGGAACGGCCTGGGATACCGGCCAAGTACCTAGCACCGGAAGTCGCGGTCGGACGACCCGCAAGCCCGGCATCAGACGTCTGGGCCCTGGGATGCGCCATCTTTCGGATCCGGTCAGGCGACGACCTTTTCTTTGACTACGACACTGATACCCCGGCCGACGCGCTTAGGCAGATTGTTAAAACCCTCGGCGAGCTTCCCGAGGAATGGAGGCAGACGAAGTTTGACGAGGAGGGGGTTGCGGTTGTAGACGGGGAGGGCGAGCTATTCTGGAGCTTGGAAGAGACGCGGCCGTTGGAGGACCGGGTGCGAGGGATTATTGATGAGCCACCTGGTCTATTCATAAACCGTCTGGGAGAAGCAATCAACCCTACGGACGAGAAGCCGGGTGCTGCCATGTTCGACGACGATGCCGCGCTCAGGGAACCCTACTCGCCCGCGTTAAGCTCGATCGTATGGAAGCCAACGGCCGTGTGTGTCGCCGGGACCTATTTCATAGCGTACTCGGACGAGCTGGATGGCATACTTGAGGCGTTCCCGAGGATATCGGAACTCGAAGCGTCGCTGCTGGTCGACCTCTTATCGAAAGTCTTCAGGTATGATCCGGCGACGCGGCTTAAAGCGGAAGAGTTGGTTGCGCACCCTTGGTTTCATTTACCTGTAGCCTCTAAATCAGGGGTAGATTTAAAGCAGTCCGGTAACCGATGTTAGAGGATTCTAATAATAAAATGAGTTCATATTTCATCATTAAACTACTTCAGGTACTTTTTAATTACCTACGCTTTTATTCAATCAATGTATAATTTGGTTTAAAATAGCATTTTAAACATCTCGATAAAAAAACTTTTATAACCCTTCTATTTCGCTTTAGGCTCGGTTTAAAAATATTGGTGTTTAAGGTACTCGCGATTGCGTACAAGATCCCTCCCCATGGGGATCTTGATCTCGAAGCTTGGCAAGATGATTACCCCAGAACTTGACGATTCAACAACAAGGAGCAAGATTTCGCTCATTCCTCCTGTTAAGTTGCACAGTCCCAGTGGCCTGGATGAATGCAGCTATGGATATAGGGGTATATTCCCTCCGTTAAGCTCGTTGGACCAGTGGAGAGGGGGACAACCCGTGGCGTTCCATGGTTCTATTCAGAACGAATGCTACGCTAAACCGGCAGTACGAATACGGAGTAGAAACATATGTGTCCAACCGCAGCTGAAAGTAGTAGTGGCAGGCTGCGAGGTGACCTTTCTAATCTGTAAGCCTGTCACATTCGCTTCGTGCCAATAGCTGGAGAGGCATGGGTTCGGTTGGAAGAAGGTCGATGGAAGCGAAAATGGAAGATTCCCCTTTTAGATGGACTGGGATCTTATTTTTCTTTTCCGTTCTCTCCTTTTCTTATTGTACTCCTTTTTCCGACCGCGTGACCTTTGAAATTTTATCCTCTTGGAAGTGATGCTGACGACTAACGTGCTGACGATTGGCTCCTTCGGGAAGAACCGAATAGCAATTCATCAATTGGCTTGGAGTTAGGTAGTAAAGATTTAATACGCTAGGAAGCGTGTTCACACTTGACTGGCATTCAATATAGTATTCTTATTCTCTCAGTTCGCTCTGGCTAATACAGTATAGTACGTATGCGAGGAACATGTGGTCACCTCAATTGATTCTTGTTAACGTCTAAATCTGCCTAGAGTAAAGACATTGGAATTGGGGGATAATATACAGTAATTAGTAAAAGCATGCAGTATCAACATCCCCGCTCTTTGCTCCTTTCAGACGATGCTCCCCATTCTCCATCACCCCCAGGTCTATTCTCAAACCCACTTATACCCTAAAGTCTATATAGCCATGGGTTCAATTTAGGGTTGTCCTGGCCTCGATACATTGTTGAGCTTAAGCGTGTTCTTGACTTTATGTAGTCGTTGATTCGCCAAGCCCTAGAGCGCCAGAAACAACTGAGGTCTGGGCCGTAAGGGAATAAGAAACGTGGTCCTCAGACTGCCTACTGTATTTCCGCAAGGAGGTATGTACTACCGAACATATACCTACAGCGTGACATTGGTTTTTATAGAAACATACAATGTCGATCGTGTTCACCTTTATACTTGATTCAATTGGCCATGGGCCCGCTATTAATATATCCTTTATACCTTGTTGAACACTGTCTACAGAGTAGTACCCGTACAGAATCTTGTGCGAAGCCCCCTGGCTCTCCCAGCAGACGGGATTGACTACTAATCCTGGCATGTGGATATATGTAATATGTAATATGTATGTACTCTGCAAACAGTAGCTGAAAGCTGTGTGCTGCTGCTTATTCGAGGCACAGCATCACATACGATGATGATATTCCGCTGTTTGCCTAAGCCGAGAATGATAAAAGCAACCACGTCGTAAGCTCGTGTCTTCGTGACGGCGAGTATTGATGGGGTAGGATGTGGGGAAAAGAAAAAGAACGGGCCTCGGCAGGGCAGCAGAGCCACATATAATGTACAGTAGTAGCGGAAGCCCAACCAGTAGACGATCCCGAGTTTGCTCTCTAGCAAACTCCGGGAATCAGCCCTCTCGGAATGTCTCCTTGTCTCCGTACTGTACATAGACATTATATTCCCAAAGAGGGGAAGACGAACATCGAGTTGCTCTGCCATTGTATAATTGGGCCTAACTGTTGCTATGGAGAAAGGATATGGGGATAATATGTAGAGGTAGTTAGCATCGTTACCCGTTCGTGCGTCTTGTCCCGTCTTTGCAGAGAATTAGTCGTGGTTAGATTCGACCAATTCGTCTAATACCAATTCGTTGACCGTCTCGTTCCATTACGAAAGCAAAAACAAGATGCATACAACCTCTGGGCTCCGCTAGCAGCCATGCCAATAATATAAGAGGCGCACTAATAGTAAATAAATCGTATGTGAAGTAACATGTAGTTTTTCGCTTGGCTTGCCATTGTCCCTTTGCTCCTGAACTACATACTCTTGAATGTTTCCTGTGTGATTCTCAACTTTCACCGCAATGGTTAGGCTTCGGCTTCGGCTTTCGCAATATCTATATCTCTTAAAGCCGCGCGTTGTACAGTACAACACCTACACCTATATGGACGGATGTGACCTTACGGGTTACCTGCCCAGTGCCCATACCTATACTATTGTTTATACTATTGCAAGTCCCTGCATGCGTACCACTTTGTACCTCAATATTTCCCACTTGTGAGCGAAGAGGGAATCGTTGGTGATTGATTCCCCCCCATCGTACGATTTTGGCTCTCGCATTCCCTCTTCTGAGATCGATCCCCGGCTCTCGTTTTCTTTCTTTCAGCCACTCACACGGCTTCCTTAACCTCACCCACATGATTCGGCCTTCACGTGTATGATACTCCCAGAGGCTCTCTCCGGCAAACTAATCCCTGCACTCTACATACATACTTGGCCTATTCACACCTTGCTTGTTAGGGTCCTACCAGTCGAAACTCCTCAACTTCAAACAGCGAACAGCCGCTCTCCCACCGGACGAGGAAACCCTCGCTAGCATCTGTCATCTGACTGACAAGCCACCACCATACCTAACCCATCATCCGCTGACGCTGACGACGACTACTTCGGTCCTTCTTAATTGACAATCTGCTTAAGGCCGTATATCATATGTGATATGTACATACATAGCTGCCTTTTCTCCCATTGAAACTTCGCAAAAGGAACTGAACTAACTAACAGAACTAACAGTCCTAACCTAGTTCATCACGATCCTAGCTAGCCACCTACGTCCAATCTATATGTACTCTCTCTCTCTCTTTCTCACCCATGTCCGCAGGATCTGCGCCTCGTGCCACTTGCAGCATGGCCCCAGCAATAGCCTAGGATAGGTAGGTAATTCGTAGCTAATACCCTGGGATACCTAAACTAGCCTAACTACCCAGCCTGATGCGTACACTAGAACTTGCACGTAGCATTCGTAGCTCGAAGCCAAAGCAGGAAGAGGGAAACACAAGACGCACACATACGACATACGTCCGTTACCAACTGTCGGGATCTTCCCGCCCCCGAAAATATCCATCAGCATTATTTACCTAATGTATGTACTAAGATTGCTTTCCCCGGGTTTAACGCAGGCGACGATCTTCAGCGTCCCGTCCCTCTCTCTTATTAAGCCGCCTAGCCAATCTCGCTGCTCCGGCGCATTCCCCTTCCCATCACTCTCCACATACCTAGTTACAATACACCACCACCACTGTTTCGTATACCCTCAACGGATATAGCATAACAAAGTCGACGTTGACAATCTTAGCTATCTAACCTACAGGCACCAACACTGGCTTGTATAGAAAAAGATACCGTGCTTCGGCTAGTACCCCCATCTAGCATTGTCCGTATTTCGAGTTTGATGAAGCGTCACGGTCTGCAATATCTTGGATTCTCTCGTCCACGGCGCATCTGCATTAATCATACGTCAATACGTTCATTAAGGATCAGCCGCAGTGGGTGCATCAAGCTGGTTAACTCCTTAGGACCTCATATATCCTTAAGCAATACGCCGGCGCAGAAACCTACCTACGCGATCATGACACACTTCCCAACCTGAGCCAGATCCCTTTCCTCCTCTCTTCGACATCATCCCCGTGTTGATTACTTATTCAACGATATTCAACCCTCTCGTTATAGTCGCCGAAGGGTTCTAGCACCAGCCGGATAGGGTTACTATGGTCGTTAAGCTAGATGCGCACCAGACGTCCCTGGAGCCCTTTGGACTACCCTGGTCCTCTTGCCACGCACGTCATTCGGATGATGATCCGAGCTTAGGTAACAGTAGCAGGTCGCGCTACTTTCGGATCAGTGCATCAGCGCCCAATTCACCGCCAAGCGTTGTCCGGATACTCAAGGCCGGGGTCAGCGGTGGTGGTGGTGGTGGGAGTGAGACGAGCAGTGAAAGCAAGAGTCAGGATCATGCTAACCGCAGAGTTGCTAACTCAAGCTCTCGCTTGACGAAGATCCAAGTCGAGCTTCAACCATGTAAGTCTCGGGTTTCAACTGCGGTGTTATCGACGGAGGGCCGACCGAAGCCCAAGAAGGCGAACTCGGCCCCGGTGGTTTTGCAATCCCAGTCTGGGACCGGCGAGGAAGCCCAAGAAGAGCACAGCATTGATGTGCCCCCAACATTTCGGGTCAATTCACCTCGATCGCCGGTAGCAGCAGCAACGTTAAACGCCGTAGTGCCAAGTGAAGAAGGAAAGGAAAGGACGGTATTCTGCTTCCCCCGCGAAGCGTTCGTCCCATCGTCCCTTGCCCTCCGGCCTCCTAAGCGGGGCCGCGCATTGCACGATGTAGACGGGCCCGGAACAGGTAGTCTTCCGTGTAAGAAGCGGCGATTACGACTGCACCTTGTAACGAGTAGACTATCACAGCCGTACTCGTGGCCAGCGACTCACATTCTGAATCGCGAAAGCGGCGACGACTCACCTGTGCTCAACCGATTCCTCAAGCTCGCCGCCATCGGCTCTCTAAAGAAAGCCGGTCACCAAAGCGCGCTAATCCGCAAGGCAGCCATTCTCAATAGAGTGAGGATTGGAGTGCGACAGGCCGCTGTGCTGAGAGGCCACACGGTGATCGCGGGAATGGCGGCTAGAGGAAACTCGCTGAGCCACGGTTTACAGCTAGTGACGACGTCCAATAGCTCGACAGGAGCCCGGTTCCCTGGCCACGCGCCTAACCCTTACGATCACCCAATACCTCCAGCGTGGCGACCACATACAACATCATTCCACCCTTCGTCTTTTAGTTCGAGCCCTCTAGACCAGGAAGATTCTACAAATCAAAAATGCAGCCCCGAGAACAGGAGTCCCAGCCCACCGGCGACTTGCCCATCCCCTCCACCGCGACCGAGTGTGCAGTCAAACCCACCAGATCCACCACGACTACTACCACCACCACCACCACCACAAGTGGAAGACGATGATGTGGCGTTCCCTTCTCCAGACCTTGAGACCCGATACGCAGATTTTTCGGATGATGATTTAGATGACGTATATGCTGATTTTGGAGTATTATTTGGGTCTGGTATGCGGTCACCCGAGGATGGTAGTGGAAGTAGCGAAACAACCAGTGGTGAGCATTTCTACGAGGAATACTTGGATGAGCTGGATGGAATACGATGGATAGCGTAAGGTACTACGCATGGGTATTTGAACTGTTAGCGACGTGCATGATAGGTATATTCTCTGGGCACCTGGAATCGTCAGAGATTGGGCGTTTTTGTAGCTGGATGAAGGGGGAAAGGTTGGTGTCGTGGCATCCGGCAAGGGAATAAGAAACCATCAGGGAAAATATACATCAGAATATATATCAGATGCATTATTGTTATGAATAGAAGCATGCCGCAGCCTCACGGCAGCTTCGGATGATCAAAATTCAAATAATATGCGACAAGGAAATGACCTATGTTGTAAGGCATATCCGATCAGTAACTTGTCATATACTATGTTCCCTACGATGATAGACGATCAGTAAACTACAACTTCTTCTCGTTGATTTCCGGAGTGAATTGGTAAGTAAAGGTGCTTCTAAGAGTCCAGGGTATGAACACTTAATAGTTCTAGTTGTCAGTGTGCGATACGATATACGTGCTCGCATATTCTTATACATGGCCTAGGTTAGGAGTTGATAACGATCGCGAGCTTGTTTGAGAAGCATATGGCTCGCCTCTAAATGGGCAATGCGTCTACGTTCCTCCACAATTTTTTGTTGAATAAGATCTGGATTGGACATCCTTTCAGTCCGTAGCCTGGAGCTTTTTCGCGCGATCGAGAGCAATATCGACCATCGCCTAGATAGGGGCCAAGCCAAAATGTGTCAGCATAGGGGGAAATCTTTATATCTCGGTTAAGCTCGTCTTGTTGGATAGTCTTCACCTACCTGGATAGCTTCTCGCTCCTCGGCGAATATGTCGCCGCGGTCAATACGCTCCCGCATATTATTCATAACGGTTTCACGGCTTCGGCCATTGACAAATACTACGTATCGTAATCCGGGGAACCGGGATTCATACTCCTCATTCAGAGCTTTAAGCCTTGCAGCCTCTTCTTCCTTATCGCCCGAGGCACCAGATGATTTAAGATGTGCCTGCTCAGCCCGACTCTGCGCACTCTCTACCTTCTTCTCACCCAGGCGCGGATGTGAGCCCAGGATTGCATGTAACTCCGCTCTCGAGTCGGCAGTAGTAGGGTTTTCTGCTAGCTGAAATAGGAGACTCCCAACATGTTCGATGAGAGACGAATAAGATGAGAAAGGGGTGTTGCGGATCGCTGGAATGGCTATGAGGTGAAGATCCTGGGACGGCTCGAAAAGTACATCGAGTACAGACTCGATTTTACTATCATCAGCCCCCTGAAGTGAGATAACAGGTGGTAGGGTTGGGGAAGCCATTCCGTAAGATCTTGCATATATATGGTTATGGATGGGTATATACGGTATTATTCGAGTCAGCTTTAGAATATAACTTTCAGGTAGTTATCTTATATTATTACTTGAGGAGGTTTCCAGTCCGGTTGGAGCTTTTTATCGTTGTAATGGTAGTACTACGGTTAGCACGTTAAAGCTGTAGTAATTGCAGTTAGCAATGATTTGCTTCAATCCAAATTATTGATTACCTAATGGTGGGGTCTGAAGTGGGGTTACCTAGATTACCGTAAGCCTCAAGCCTCAAGCCACCACGCCAAGCTGCGCTGTCAACTCCACGTGCTAAAATACCTAATCTGATCTTACGACGAACTCGCGATTGGCGAGCGCGCCAGGGACTTGATACGTCTTGGTGGGCTGCGATAGGAGGCGAGCCGCGCAATGCTGAGACATGAAACGTCGCGGAGACGCTTGGGGGTCGCAGAATCTAACCATCCGATCTTTGACATTTAGAATTTATTTTTAATATTCTCTTCTGAAATAAACCAATTCGTTTTATTTTTACTTGTTTATCCATTTTTCTATTCATTCATTTCGTAGTCTATCGGGCTTTTCTTTTTTTCATTCTTTTCTTCTCGGGCCGGCATCCCGTATTTTTGTTCGGTTTTAATACGTCTCACTTGCGAGCCGGGCAGCAGGACTGTATAGAGGATTTCATTAGAAAAAGGGTTAAGATTCGGCGAAGATGAAGGACCATCGGAACCCTAAGGACTTATATCGCAAGCTTAGCATGGCTCGTGATGAGGATCGCGACGACTCGAGTAGCACGGACGTTGATCTGGAGGCGCTTGACTTAAACGAGAAAGACTATATGCACGAAACAGGAACATCACGGACAGGATCGAGCGAGAAGAGCGCGTTTCTCGCTGTCCTTAAGGAGCAAAGATGGTTAATTGACACATTCCTATTAGTGGTCATTGTGCTGTTGCTTCTAGGGGGTGATTTCAGGCGGCACGGAAGAGAACACTTCTTCGAGGGAGGCGGCGATTTGACGGGGTTCGCGCCGGAGTTTGGACAGAAGATCACGACGTTCTCTCCGGATCCGTCCTTCGTGCCGGAAAACACCTCTGAATTCTTCTCGGAAGAGACTCGGAAGAAGTGGTTAAGTCTAGTGCCGAGTACGTAGATGCATACCGCCCGCTCCGTCCCTGAATGATCAGCTATTAGAGCGGCAAGCTAACTCGGTGTGCGTACTGACAGAGGGTCTCGGCTACCTTGAAATCAAGGATCCGCAAGAATACGATAATCTACCGACGCAGTTGGACTCGTACCCGGATCGGTTCGTCGTCACATCATCCATGACGCACCAACTTCATTGTCTGGTAAATATTCTGCCCCGCCTCCTTTCCTATCTGTGTGTACGTCCGTGTGTCGCTAACATCGACCAACAGTATGCCATTGCCGAGGCCTATTCGGCACTCACGTCAGACACGAGCCGAGTGCCCAAGGAGACGCCGTGGCACTTGACTCATTGCTTTGACTACTTGCGACAGAGCATCATGTGCTGTGGAGACGTCGCATTGGAAGGCGAGCAAACCACCTTCCCCGAGGGCTTCGACGGTAGCGATGGATGGGATGCGAAGCACGTGTGCAAGAATTATGGCGAAGTATATGATTATCTCGAGAAGAATCGAGCCGATGACAAAGTTTGGATATAGATTCAATACGAGCGAAATGAAGGGTCCTCGACGGTCATATGCCATGGTGTTTAAATGAATTGGATTCTGCACCCTAGAACTTATCTTGGTGAATATATACCCCTATTTGGATGAATCATTGCTGCCCTCAGCTGGTGCGGGTTGGTTGTAATCGCCTGCCTTGATCTTGGCCTCATACTCCTGGAAATTCTTGATGCCTTTCGGCATGCCGTTCCACATCAAGCCCTGTTCGTCCATCAACTTGTCTCTAACCTCCATGATAGCTTTCCACGAGTCTCGTGACGTCATACGCTCGTGCCAGGCTTTCACGTTGGAAAAGCCGTTGAACTTTTCTGACGCCGGTAGGCCCAATACGGCATCCACCCTCTCGTTCCACGGAACAAAGGCCATGTCGGCGTAGGTCATCTTGTCACCTACGAGCCACTGCTTACCCTCAAGCCAGCCGTCTAAGACCCCGAGAACACGAGTGACTTGATTAGCATATCGCTCGATAGCCGAAGGGAACTTTTCGGGATGGTTGTTTCTGAACCTGTGTTGATCAGTGTTAGCGAGGCAACAATAAGAAGGTTATTCTACTAACCAGCCCGCGGTACCCCAGTAAGGACCTTGCCCACTCATCTGGAAGTGTAGCCATTGATCTAAATGGTGCACCTCGGGGAAAGTAGTGTAGCTCAGCTTATGTTCGGTATCGTATTGCTTGATGAGATACGTAATGATAGCACCAGACTCCCATAGCGTCAGGCCATTATTGGGGTCCTCTATCGCGGGAACACGGCCGTTGGGGTTAACATCGATCAGAGGCTTCTTCTTAACGTCGGCGAATTTTATCACTTTCAGTTCGTACGGCACTCCTAATTCTTGGAGTACGAAGACAACCTGGAGGGAAATTAGTGTTAATATCAGAAAGTTACGCCCTTTAGATAGACTTACCTTCCAGGGATTAGGTCCGGGAGCTGGTTGCTAGATGATTAATAGGAGTCACAGGAAAGAGACTGCAGTGGTTGATAACTTACGAGTGACCCATACACGAATAGGCAACGCCATGTTAATAAATGGAGAGAGAATCGAAGTTGAATCCTAGTTGAACAGCTGTAGTTTAAGTTATTAGAAATATGATTAATATTAAGTTTACTTCTTTTAGATTTTACAGTTAATATCACGGCATTTAAAGGTTTAAGCCTCGTCTTATCGTGTAACCATTATTATATGTTTTAAGTACCTTTATAAAAAAAAAACATTAACGTTAATATATAAGATCTTAAAACTGTATTAATACCGTATATTTATAATTTAATTATTTAAATAATTACGCATTTTAATATAAAAAAAACATGGTAATTATATTTATTAATAATATTAATATTAAATAATATTTTTACGATTAAATAATTAATATATTAAATGGTTTTTTTTTTATAAATAATTTTTTTAATTAACGGTTTTTTTATAATTTTAATATAATTAAAAAAAATATAATATATAAATAAATAAATAAAAAAATAAATAAAAAGTTTATTTATATTATTATATATATTTATTTTAATATAAATATATATAAAATTAATTAAATTATTAAAATAAAAATAATATTAATTACGTTTATTTTAATAATTTAAACTTTAATTTAAAAAACCTTTTTTTTTTATTATAAACGTTATAAAATTTTTAATTTATATATTTATATTTATAAATTAAAAATAAAACGTTTTTTAAATTAAAATTTAAAATTATTATAAAATCATATTTTATTAATAATAAAAATTTAATAATAAAAAATTAAATATTAAATTTATAATAATTTATTATATAATAATAATATATAAAATATTTTTTATTTTTATAATTTAAAATTAATATTTTACTTTTTTTATTTTTTTATTTTTTTATTTTCTTTATATATTTATATAATATTATATTTTTATATATAAAATTTTTATATTAAAATTTATTAATGGTAAAATATTAAAATATTATAATTAATATTATAATTAATAATATAATTAATATAATATATAAAAATAAAATGTTTTTTATTTTAACTTTATTTTATTTTAATATTTTATTTTATTTTAATAATATTATTTTTTAAATTTTTTTATTTATTATAATTATTATTATTATAATTAATATATTACGGTTAATATATTATAATTAATATTATATAATTATTATTAATAATATTTATAATAACGTTTATAATTAAATAT